CTCCTTTGTTGCCCCAGCTGCATTTCTGTACCCTCCCTCACCCACATCACTGCTCAGGCATTTCCCTTCAGAGCCCTCCTCCTCCGGAACAATAGCCAGGATTTCCTTAAATTGCTGCAGTTTTACCTGTGTCCCATTATCTTCCCCCACCAAATGATAATTGCAGATTAATTAGTATACTTAATCAGCCACAACTAACATGTAATTACACCTAGATTTAATTAATCCTGTCTGGTCTAAACACTTGTACAAGACCTGATAAACTTAATTCTAGGAGAACCAACGCGCTCCCAGTACCTTTTTATGGCCAGCTTTTGTTGCTGCTGAGATTTTCTGCTCATCTTACTTTCTGCAGTGCCTCCAGGTTTTCATTCCCTGCTTGTCTTTGCTATGGGAGCTCTTTTTTAGACCCACTTCTCTGTGGAGTTGTGGTGGACCTGGGGCTACTCAGGTGTGGTAACACCACCCAGAACAGGTATGTGCAATTCCTCTAAGTAGCAGCAGAGTTTGAAAGGATGTGTTTAACCCTGAGTGAGCTGTGTGTGCCATCACACCTTCCTTGGGAGGATGTGCGGGGTCTGGCATCCTCTTAGGTATGTAATTTCTCTAAAGTCCCGCCTGAAAACAGTTAATTTCTGCTCAATTGCAGTGTCATTGCCCCCCTCCTTTAAGTCTCTGTGTTGAGCCAGGCAGAGGGAGGACAGGATATCCCCTCTGTCATGCTTTCTGTGGTCCCTATCTATCCCAGGGAAGGCATGGTACAATTCCAACACTTTGTCTCTCTTGTCCTTTGCTCCTGGGCCTCCCCAGCTCCCATCAGCCACTGCCCTGTGAATTGCAGGCTCCTGGCTGCTCCTGAGGTTCCCCCAGTTTGAGGAACCCTCTGAGGAGCAGGCTGGTTGTGCCAGCAGCAGAGCCACTCACCTCAGCAAGTGATACAACCACAGTGGCACATCTTAACCAAAGGGAGCCCATGCTGCAGGGGAGGGAGGAGGACACAGCACCCAGTGAGCCCCACCACTCCTCCAGGAGCAGCTCTGGCCACAGCAGGCCATAAAGAGTTGATTATCCCTGCAGGCTTGAGCTCTCTCACCAGTCCCCTCCTGCCAGCTGCAGTGAAGGGCAGCAGTGTCACAACCTCCCCACTCAAGTGTAATCTGAAAGTTCCCCACCAATTATGAAGATGTCTTGACCTCTTTCAAGCTGCCTGTTCCTCACTCAGCTGGATAAAGGAGAGAAGCCATGTGGATTCCTGCTGATCATCCCTAGCCAAGGTGGACTGTTTCAGACAAAAGCTTTCCCTGTCTGCTTTGAGCCCTTTAGGCTTTGTTCTGGTTCTCTGTGGGGAAGCTGCCAAGATGAATACAGCTCCAGGAATGGGTACTGGGGGAAGGGCTCCTACCTGCACTGGCTCTGCAATGTGCTGCTGATGCTGCTAGAGGAAAAACTGGCTTTTAAGCAGCAGAGAATGACTTTTTGGAGGATACAAGGAGCTCCTGGCACCTAAAAGGACCCAGCTGCCCTCATCCATGAAGTGCCTCCGCTTGCTTGCAGGTGAAACAGAGCAAAACTAATGGGAAGGGTTGTCCAAGCATCCCTTGAAAAGGGCAAAGGCCTGAGGATGCAGGCAGAGGTAATGTGGGCACTGCTGAGCTCCTGCCAGGCTCACCTGCCTGTGGGCAGCGTGTTCTCCCTGCTGGTTGCTCAGCACATCCCGTGCTTCCACCCCAGGCTGCTCCCAGCTTGAGCTGCGTGTGCTGGACCATCCTGTGCAAACAGCCCCTGTGCAAGGAGCACAGGCAGCCTGGGAGGTGAGAAGAGTAAGTCCAGCTGCCTCCACACTTGCAGCTCTCACCTAGCTGCCCATGTCTCCAGGACTGCCTGCAGCCACCTGCTGACAGCTCTGGTCCCCAGGGACCACAGGGATGGTGGCAGCCCTTGCCATGGCAACCATCACCGTGGCACCCAGCATCTCCATTCCCCTGGGAATGTCCCCTCCCCTGTGCAGGCAGGGCTGGAAAGCAGCAGGGAAAAAACAAAGTGTTGTCTGCTCAAGAGGAGCTGTCTGGAAGCACCCCAGGGTTACCCCAGAGGGAGCACTGCACCTTGGGTAGCTGCCAGGGCACAGGGGGTGTGCAGTAATTTTATATTTCCCAGCTACTCCCCAAGGGGCAAATCAAAGGCAGGACCTGGAATCGCTACTCCAGTGGGCATAAAAACGTTGTCCAGCAGTTACAGTAATATCAGTGGAGGGGATCAAATCAGTGAGCCAAGGCTGTGGGCCAGCACCCTGGGGTCACAGGCCCTACAAGCTGTCCACAGGTGGATGGGATGTGCCACCACTCTGTGCCCACCCCAAGCCCAAACTGCAAATCGTCTGCAGGATGGAGAGAGGTTTGACCACTGAATGACTTGGCCTCTCCCCTGCCCTGACTTCTTTTCCCTAGCCCTGTCCTGGTGCTACCTGGGGATGCTGCTGGAAAGGGAAGAACCATTTTCCACCAGCTCAGTGGTTACTCCCACACTGACCCCTTGATCTCTTTGGTGCTGTACCAGGCACTGATTCAAGACAGCTGCTATTGCCTGCTTGGTCTTTCATTTATCTTTCCCCATCCTCAGCATTTTTCCTCCCGGAAATCTCTCGGGGCAAAGAGAGAGGCCCCAGACAGGAGCTGAGCCCCTCCTGTGCAGGGCATGCCCCTCTCAGGCCACTCTTTTGGCCCCAGTGCCATAAATCAGCCCCAGCAAAGCAGCAGGGGAGCAGTTTGGTGAAAGGCTGCAGGGGCAGCAGTACCTTTATTAGGTTCCCCCAGCACAGCTGGAAAAAATAAGGAGCCCAGACAGGCTTTCAGGCACATAACCCCTGAGCTGAGCCCTGCATTTGGTCCTGTCTGCTGATTTAATAACAGATCAGCTTTCCCCACAGACCACATCTCCTGTGTAGCCTTAAACCCTCCTGGTTAAAACACTGCCCCAGAGAATCAATCCAAGATGGTTTTGTCCCTTTGATCAGTACAGCAGGTAATAAGTCACTGACGGAAATGTGTTTCACTTCTCTGGCTCCAACAATAGAAATGGAGACAACCCCTCTGTCCTGAACTGCCTGGTGAAAACCTCACAGTTCCTGGGCAAGTAGGAGGAGATGGACAAAAGGCTTTGTAGGGTGGCTGTGGAGGTCCCCAGGGACACACAGCAGCACCTGGCTGTCCAAGGTGTGAGCAAATTCCCTTCCCACAGGGATCCATCCCAATCTCCAGCCTCAGAGACAGCCACAGCGTTTACAGTGCCTGTTTAATTGTGGTGACAAGCACAGATTGCCTGACAAAACCAGGTAAGGCTGGTCTGGGAGCTGCTGGGGGACTCCCACAGGTGCCTCTGGGCACACAGGTGGTTGAGTCACCTGGCAGAACTGGCTCAACTGTTTAATGACTTTAATGTTTCTAGATAGCCCAGAGCATCACATGTGCTCCTTAATTCCTCGCTTTTGCCCATATCCAGTCCTCTGTAAACAGGTGTGCACATTACATTATAAAAGAATTGTGAAGATTTCTTCAAATCCCATTTTTAAAATAAGGGTTTCTTCTTCTTTCCCTCTATTTAAAGAGGATTATTTAACTCTTCTTTGAAGTGCTGTCTCCTCCTCCAGTGGAGTGCTTTAGTGTGTGCTCCGGAGATGTTGAACTCCCTCTGAGCTGAGGGAGGAGGCTGGAAAGTGCAGTGTGGAGGTGGTCACTGGGTGTCAGGCGATGTGTGTCTGCCAGACTGGGTTGGAGAGAGCTGGAATGAGCTAAGAAGGTGGCTTTTGATCTCTCAGCCTTCCTTCAGGTACCCTCCAAGTGCTTCTGTCCCTGAACACTCAGTACATGCTGCCCCAAGACTGAGCCTGGAAGGGGAAGCAGATGGACTCATTACTTTCAAGGACCCTTTTTTTCCTGTCTTGGCTCTTTTTACTATTTTTCACTGTTACACGAGGGTGAAATCTGTGCAAGAACTGTTCCTGGTGGACAGAACTCCTGGGCCAAGCGGCGGAGTTTGACCTGGATGATGCCATTCCCAAACTGCAGCTCCTCAGGGACAAACAGAAAACATTTGGCATCGAGTGCTTCGAGCAGGTCATTGCCCTGGGGCAGTGTGGCTCCACCGAGACCTTGTGGTGCCTCCTGCAGACGCCGCTTTGGGCAGGTGAGGCTGGAGAAGCACCAAGGCATGGACGGAGCAGGGGGTTCAGAAAGACGAGGAGTTCCCAGGCGGTGCCTGCGGAGCTGAGGGCTGTGTGCCATAACCACGCTCTGGACACGACCCAGCTGTGCAAAGCCATGACCGGGGGGAGGATGGAGCTGCCAAAGTGCTCTTTGAGGTGAGGAACATCAGTTCTTCCAAGGCCAGGATGTACAAGTGGTCACTGTCCCTCTGAGCCGGTGGGACGGCAGCAAGCTCCACAGCAGCAGCCTCTCCCAAGAACCAGGAGCTTCTGGGTTTTCCAAGCCTTGGAAAGGCGTCCCAGTTAGGAAGGGATGCCCAAACCGTGGGGGTGCCATTGCTGGGATCGCTGTCCCCGTGTGATCGCTGTCCCCGTGGGATCGCTGTTCCCGTGGGATCGCTGTCCCTGTCCTGCCCTGTCCCCGTGGGATCGCTGTCCCCGTGTGATCGCTGTCCCTGTCCTGCCCTGTCCCCGTGGATCGCTGTCCCCGTGGGATCGCTGTTCCCGTGGGATCGCTGTCCCTGTCCTGCGTTGTCCCCGTGGGATCGCTGTCCCCGTGGGATCGCTGTCCCTGTCCTGCCCTGTCCCCGTGGGATCGCTGTCCCCGTGGGATCGCTGTCCCCGTGGGATCGCTGTTCCCGTCCCGCCGCCGCCCGCCGCCCCGGGCGCTGCGCACGGTCCTCCCGCCCGGCAGGGGGCGCCCGCCGCGCCCGGCGGAACCAGCGAGAGCGGCGCGCGCCGCCCCTCTGCCGCGTGGGTCCGCCCGCGTGACAGGGAGGGGCTCCCCATTGGCCGCGCCGGCGGGGCCGGGCGCGCGCCCCCGCGGCCGTAAGTTTGCGCGCGGGTGTGCGTGTGCGCGTGCACGTGTGTGTGTGCGCTGCGGTGTGTTTGTGCGCTCAGGCGTGAGTGTGCGCTCAGGTGTTCCCCCGTGGCATCCCCGCGTATCCATGCACGTACCTGCACATCCCGGAAGGTGTTCCCGCGTGGGCAGCATCATCCCGCGTGTGTGCCGCTGTGCCCGTGCCGCGTTCGTGCGTGTCCGTGTGCGGGTACCGGGGTGTCCCGGGAAGCGCGCAGGGCTGTGTGAACGCCGTGCAGCATTCCCGTGTGATGGGGTACCTGTATGTGCACACCGGGTGTGCCCGTGCAGCATTCCCGTGTGA